TATATATATATATATATATATATATATATATATATATATATTATATTCGCAACCTTCACCCACGTGAATTCTCTATCTTCTTTGACTATGCTCGTAACATTCCATTCCTCCCTCTGCTCTTTTATCCAAATAGGCAGCCAAGATAGCAACCAAAACCGGCATATGGAAATGCATGGCTAATGGTTGTAAACACTAAAACTTACGCTATTCTGAGATTTTTAGGTGTATTTTTTCTCAACATTTTCAGGGCCTACGATTCGAAACAAGCCGTCATACACGAGCTCCTGATAGTCTATTCGTCCTATTTCGCCATATCTTAGATCAGCTAGCAAGAGATTTCCTCTAATTTTCCCAATGCCTGTCATTAAGGCACGTTAACACAACCGTAGTGGTGGCCGAATGGTAGCGTCACCAAACTGTCACCTCGGAAGACGAGTGTTCCAATCCCACCACTAGCGCCTTAAGTTCCCTAGTGTTCACCTCCAAAAGCCTCAGTATGGTCGGGACATGCATGTCGGATCGTACCTAGCCACTCTTCCCTTGCAAGTCGAGAAATGCTTTTATACAATCGAGCGTCTCAAAATAGCCGCAGCGGAGGAAGCCCTACTCACTACTTCCCCAAGGCGGTCTTCCCATTAAAAGCGACAAAACGATAAGCCAACATCCAGGCCTATAACCGGGCTGGTAAACCACATCCACCCACACGTTGGTTGTGGCATCATCATCATTGTGCAGCGTAATACAGTGAAGCAAACTTCACTGATCGCTGCCAAACTCATATTGCATACAAGGTAAGTGATAATGTATAAGGAGGACAGGGAGTGGACCTATTTTTAGGTACGGGAAAAGAAAGCGAACCTCTATGGCCAACACAGAGTACATACATACTATTTCAAGGATTCTGGTCTGATAAGAAGTGATAGCAAGCTCGCCATTGCTGTCGGTTCGCAGCCACGACCTTCAGTGCCTCCAACCATGCGGTTTCGGAGTCTCTTGGACCCCAACCCGGAAGACAAGAGACACCTACTCTACCTAATCGCTCTGTGCATTTCTTTATGCCTCGTCTCCACGTCATCTGCTGGCCTCCACGTGGCTTTCTATAGCCTGTAACAGCCACTGCAAACATGGCGCGATGCGGTGGGCGACCGTCGGACATAAACAAAACGTGTCCCAACCAATGGAGCCTATTGAGCTGGATTTGATGCGATAGCGAGTTCTTGTTTGGGTGGTTATGGCGATAGTCACCGGTTCGATCGAGTATCGAGGTCTATTGGGCACCTTGGACGCTTGACCCCATCCGAAGGGTGTATGATCCGATGAACTCGACACCGGTGCCTAATGGATTGCGGTTTACACACGCCGCACTACTGCCTTGTGGGTCCGGCTTGGTTAGCTGGAATCTCCGGTTGTGAATCAACCCCCTTCCCTGGCGAAAAAATATCACCTGCCTTAGCCTGAGCTACCTGGCAGTATCGAACCCGCANNCAGACCACGGAACGTTTTTCCTTTTCTATAAGAAAAAATTTACTGCGATTTGTTTGGCACACAAGATGGACTCAAATTTAGGTGAAATAAAAATACAATTGTTTGATAGAAATTTTCAACACGTTCGAAAAGTCGCAAAATATACGAAGAGCCTTGAATGTGATCTTTCGGGATTTACCAAACATCGGTATATTGTTTCTCAGAGCCCGTGTAATTACTGTGTGCTTCTAAGCGACTGACATCTTCAGCACGAACTGGAGAGCGTCTGGGCCCATAAAGTAACACTTCACGTGCTGTGGCGCTGTAAACTTGACATTTTAGAGCAAGGTAGGTGCCTCGGTTGTACCACAAATGCCTCAACCTAGAGAAAGCCAGGTGGGTCTCCTTATTTTTTATAGAGGTCTTCTCATCTACCCACCAGGTTTAATACGGCGCCCGAGAAATATGAAAGTCAATAGAAAATGCCATTTGGTCCCAGGCTAACGATATTGGGCCGTCCTTTTGTGACAGACATCAAACGTTTGACTTGTGTAAATATGTGAATAATTATTACCGTTTATGCTTTTCATCTGAAAAACAACTGCAGTGGATGCTCAATGTGTGTGTTCCTGAGTGCACCCTGTTTGAGACAGTCACACTGTGAATACAATAAGCATTTAATCTAACTGATGAAAGGACGACTGGGGTTGAGTTGATATGGTATGAACAAAATTTAAACCACGATTTAGCTTACAAGCGTCCGAAAATCGTAATGAAATGATCGAAGAGAAAGATACTTCTGAGGGTTGGTGATAATGTACACTTTGCTTAGTGCTACAAGTTTTTTTCTGTTAACACAACCGCATCCCAGTTCGGTGTAAGTAGTGTGGAAGAAGACCGGTATCGAAACCAATTGGAAGCGAGAAATGTGGAGTTAGCGAAAAATCCTAAACTATGAAGTCACAAGTGCAACTGAATTGGCTGAAACAGATTTTTACGTTTGGCGAAAATTCTAATCCGAGAAACCTTTCGACAGTACTGATATATAACTGTATATTAGAAACATACACCTTTCAAAAGTTGGGTCCGGAGATCAGTCTGTGTGGAACGGTGGATATGCACCATTGGTGAGCTCTAGAGAGAGAGATACAAGTCGAGTCCGCCTGAGTCTACGGTTGCCTGGATGATCTGAGGAAAATGAAGTCTGAAGGATGGCCAGCCCACACTGATATAAATTATCCCATACTACTACTTACAAATAATTGAGTTGAATGTGAATGTAAGAAATGTTCTAAAACCATATAACTGTGAAAGGTTATCTACGCAGCAGCATTCAGAAATTCAAGGACAGTGATCGTTTTGTTTGTCGGAAGAAAATACAGAAATTCACGATGTACTAAACGCGTAAACTTGCTGTTTGGAGTCGGCGTGTGGCGCATTCAGACAGTCAGAATAATCAACTTGCACTGATTACGTGGTTTTTGCATGGATTAACGTAAGGCATATATTACATTTCCCACACGTCTGACGCCAGACTGTGCCCAACAAATCATGGTAAAATAATCTTTATGAAAAAGAAAGACGTTCCATGATTTGCATGTGGGCGGAATAATACCGGGTTGCCCAGGCCAAGGAAGGTGAATTTTCTTGGGGAATTCGCAACCATAGCCGCTAAATAGCTGGTCTGACCCGCAAGGCAGTGGTGTGTTGCGTGAAAACTGCAATCCATGAGGAGTCGGTCCAGTTAATCGGATCCTACGCTGTTTGGATGGGGTAAAACGAATATATTATACTTCACATGTCTGAGGTCAGACTGTGCCGAAAAAGTCACGGCACAATAATCGTTATAAAAATACAATAGCTCCATGGGTCAAACGTCCAATGTGCTCAATACACCTCGATGCCCAATTACGCCGGTGACCACTACCACGATCAGGGAGGTGTCCATGATTGGTTAGCCTTTTCTTGATCGGTTTGGAATAAGGGTTTTATCCAACTCCCCTAAGTGAACTTCCAGTGGTTCATCGGCCCGGATATTGGCTTTCGTTCTTTCACTTTGATGGGAAAACAAAATAACGGGAAGGCAGTGAATAGGGATTTCTCAGCAGAGGCTGTTTGAGACGCTTGGTCGTAAGGGAACATTTCGTGAGGTGAAAGGGAAGGGTGACTAACCACAACCCAAGACACCCATCCCGAACATACTGATGCTTTCGGAGTCCGTAGTCCCAAGTATAATATTTACTATCAAGTTAAGTTAAGCTTTATACACCTAATAGAGTGGGTTTTCAGCACTTATGGTTGTGTTGTGATACAAAAAGCACGTGTAGGAAATACAGAGAGACGATGATGATGAAGAGGTCGACAAATACGAAGATGTTCAGGGGAGCATCGAAGTCGAACTGAGAAAATACGGCAAAGATTTACACACGAAACACAACTTTGCGAAATAGGGTTCACAGTGAGTTCCTTCCCGGTAACTTGCTACTGAAACGTGATAAGCACCACGAATCTCCCAGTAATCAATCGGAAAGTAGGTTGGTGCTGGCAAACTGTCTCTACTGAATTCTACATAGGGGTATTCGCATTATAGCTACTCTTTGGATTCATTACAGCCACAATGAGCAAGCAGATTGGATAATTGCAACTTGTTTGAACGCAATTTGCTATGATACTCGCTCGGTGATCATGCAGCGATTCTTTAACCGAAAGTTTCACAACGGCAGTCTCCTCCTCTAACCGCTTGGTTTTCCTTAAGTCTCCTGGTAGATCCGTGTAGGCTGGACATGATCATGAAATCATGGA